TCTCTGCGCAACAGAGAACACGTGAAACAACCGCAAGTAACAACAAACAATCGCGCAAACCGATCCGGCAAACAGTCGCGAGATACTTGCAAAACAATCGATCAGCCTCTCACCAAGCTAAATACCATCTCCTCCAAATCCATCAAAATCCGTAAAAACCTGCATTGTAATGAAAACAGACGAACTTAAGTATGTATAAACAGTAACCTACGTATAGTCAGGTTTGCGTGTCACGGGGATATTTTACTCGACGGCCGTATCGCGGATTACACAGTCGCCTGTAAGATAGACGGTATACCACGTGAGTTACCACCGAGACAAATCGTGTGTCCGTGTAAGCACTTAGCCGTGCACGCGCGTTCCACCAGGCTGCGATCACGCGCCAAATTGTGCAATCCCTCTTCTCCTTTTTTCTCTACTCCTAGAGCCCGTTCCCTTCTTCGCTTCTTCGTCCACCACGAGCACGGCGGGTATCTGTCATTATCGTTCGACGAGGTACCGACGATGTCGCTTGGAAAAACGTAAATTCGTTTGTGTACAGGTACGTACCGTTACCTAACGGAGCAGGAACGACCGACGTTACGTCAAACGGCGAGACGAAAAATCGAATCGTCGTTGCGTAAAGGCACACACGTTGCTCGTGTAACGTTACGGTAATTATGACTTTGTGTCAATAATGTAAACGACAGCGGGTACTCCGATAATCACGAGGAGGCGTTTTCGTCATTCACCGTGTCTCGGGAACTCGTTCGATTGAATCACCGTGTGATTCCCGTCTGGGGGGGAAATTTTGCTACACCGACAATCTCGATCGTATGAATGAACGAGGGATTCTGCAGTTACAATATATAGGGTGTCCGAATTTTTTTCTGATCAAACTTTGACAGCATGTTCTATGGGTGTAAGTGAGAGAAAAATGTTATATGAACATAGGTAGTTTGAAGCTTCTTTGAAAAGTTACAGCGATAATACGAAATAGGAAGGGAATGGTAATGGATTTGAGGTTATGTTACAAAATAGGAATAGATCAGAGATATGTGTATCTAGTCTGTTTATGCGGGCTGTATATACGATCTGAGGTTGTTAAAGGTGCTGAATGTAGCTTTTGTCAGCGCCATTGTTGTCTTGTATCTTAGCAACCGCAAGTTCGACGTGTTTCTTATTATTGTTATAACTTTTTAACGAAGCCTCAAACAACCTATGTTCATATAACATTTTTTTCTTACTTGTATCCGTAGAACATACTGTCGAAGTTTGATCGGGAAGGCACGTATCTCCTAAGCAGCCTTACTAACGAGTACACTTACCATTCTTTCTTTTTTCAATGTAGAAGTTTCTACAGCAGCTATTAAAATCGTATTATTGTACAGTGAACTTTGGAGATATTTTCAGATTCTATAATGATCGAACGAGTTATGAAGGCTGCTATTGTTGTTCTTGTTGGAACATGAATAAGGTTTCCTCGAATACTACTATGTTACGAGAGCGTCGAAAAGGATATTTTATACCAATTCTTTAAGTTCTACGTTTTTTGAATTTGGAACACTTCAGATCAGATCATTTTATTCATGTTTGAAGATAAAAATTTCCTTTGATATTATTACCGTAATTAAAATTTTCTAAAATTAAACTTTTCGATTATGATCGATGTATACCTTATAAACACACACTTTCGTGAGCCAAATATTTAAATTTTATCAATCTCTCCTAGAAATACATTAATATTATTTGAATAAACTTAAGGAGAATCTCACTTTTGCAACGCAGTAGTAAAGTTTTTTACGACTGTTTTCGAAGATACTTAACAACCAATTAATTCAGATCTGATAACATTTTAAAAAATGTACTAAAAAAAGAATCCTCTGAAACAAAAATTTCAGTTTTTATAAATAAGACAAAATCTCAAATTTGGCGAGGTAATAAATATTAACTAAGCGCGTGCCTGTTTAACATATAGATTGCTAGGCTAAAAATGTAACCTCTTTCTGACAAGAAAACAAATATTTTACATTAATCTTTTTAGAATCAGCGATTTTTAGGGAGCACTTGCTAAAAAGCTCGGAAGATCCTTGCAACAAAAACGTTGAAATCTTTAAATTAAATTAAAAGATTGATTAAACTAAAAATTCAAGAAACTAGCCAAAATGCCTACTTTTAATTATTGAAATAACAAGTAAAATGCGCAAGTGGTAGATTTGTGAGAAAAATAGAAGAGGACAAAGTTTCAATGGCTTGAGTAGATTTTGTATTCTGTTCTATTCTATTATATTCTTGCTATTCATTATGTTCCCGTATTTCTTCCTTTTTCGCGACTAACTGTAAGTACAAGATCAAACCTATTTCGCAAAAGAGGTTAGGTACACGGATCAGGCTCACGTGGTACGCGAGGTAGCATGTCGATGGATAATCGTTTTGCATAATCGATAGGTTCGGTCGATTTTATGATTTATCGTCCTGTGGTTTTTCGTCGGTGCAATAACCAGTAACACCGTAAAACGGCGGCCTTGTCACAGTATTTAGTCGGGAAAAACGCACAGCCAAGTTAAGAAGTTTGGCGTCCTTGTGGCAGATCGCTTGTCAGTTATTACCGTCTTTTCCAGAATGCGTTTGTGCAATCCTTCGGACGATTGCAAAACCACGATTACGCCAATAGTTTGAGTACTATACAACAATGCGCGCTTTTAACCCTTTAGATATTTTAAACATCGCCTACGATATCGAATATCTAATTTATTTATTTGTTTATAACGTATTTATAAATTTAGAATATTTTTCTATTGTCTTATTTATTCTTTCTACTTTTCTATTTAGAATATTTTTCAGTTTTTCTTTTTTCACTTATTTCAGTGTCTTTCTGAACTTCGATTTTGAATTTTCTAACCTATAATTTTTTCTATTTTTCTATTTACTTTTGATTAATTATTAGTGTTATACTACTTTCACTATTTTTCCCTGTTATATTTCATTTCTTTATTTCCTATTATAATATTCCTCGTTCTGCTATTTTATTATTGCTAGTTTTCTTATTTTACCATTTCTCACTTCTCATATTTCCCTTTTTTCGTGCCTTTCTCTATTAATATTTCTAACCTTTAACCTATCATATTTTCGCTGCTTGTTACGTTCCTATATTTCTTGCTCTTTATTTCCAATATGGCTCATTTCCTGCACTGTTTGTTCCTGCTACCTATTTCTTTTCTTCCCTGTAGTCCCTGCGCTCGATATTTCGCATTTCTTATATTTCCTTCATCTCCTTATTCTCATATAGCCTGTTACGTATTTTTCGATATTGCGTATTCCGATTTCAATAATTCGTACTTTGTCTCTTTTTCACTTTTCTAACTGTGTATCTCTTATTCTTATACACTTTCCATAACCTCAATTCTCAATATTCCATGTTTTTTCATTATTAGAATTTTCTACTTCGATATTCTGTATAAAAATTCTTACTATGTTACTACTTTAAAATTTATATATAATGCAATAATCATTGATGAATAATCATAAAAGCATTAACTGGAACATCGGTAATAATGGCATAGAAATAATAATAATGGTATGTAATGAAACGTAACGCTATTTTAATGAAAGTACACGTTATTCAAATGACACACTAGCCAACGTATTAACAATTCCGAAATTAATGTTACATTACTTTAAAATTGCAATGTTTACTACACCAATTTCATGCCATAATATTTACCACTATTGCATGGAAAGCTTTAAAGTAAATTGTTAATATTCCTCATTTTGTATTGCTGTAAGACAAACGGTGGTAGCCTTGTCTAGTTCATTACTCCCTGGTGTGTAATTTTCTAGTAAAACATAACCGCAAACAAATGTATATCAACTGTTACGTTGATTTTACGATACGGTCGTTCGCACTCACTGTGAAATTTAACATCTAATAATTATTTATCCGTGAAAAATATTCCATTAAATAAAATATATGTATTAAAATTCATGCAATATACATATGTATGTACATAATTTGTACTTGTATAGGTATATCAATTCTGTTCAAATATAGGTTAGGTTCTATGACTTCACAAACTAATTATTAATATTTAATTAGATTAGTATTTGTTTCAATTTAATTAGATTAATAATTAATAAACTGTTACTTATATAAAACGAAATATATGTTTATATGTTTCATGAAATATTAAATTAAATATGAATTATTTTCGAGTAATTCGTTGAAAATTTTAAATATAACTATTGTGCTTGTTCAATAATGAAATATAAGACATTTAGAATAGAATTTGTAGTAGTAGATAAATTGAGTTAGTTGAAAGATTTATGAGATGTAAAATGATACTTTATGTGATACGTACAAATATTAATATTGGAAATATAATTAAATATTCATTGTAATATTCTAACATATTACACGGTATTTGACTAATATTATTTACTACTCCATTATGAAAATACTGATTTGATTCTATGATTATAAATTTGTTCTAATAATTCATATGTTATTTTTATTTAACATTCGTACAATGTTACGGTTTGTAGGAATGTCAAATTTTGTGTATTCACTATTATTCGTCGTATTATTCGTTATTGTGTATTCACGTTATTCGATGCTACAAACTGCGTAATAACAAATCACTTATAATGAAAATTACTATTTTATGAACATCTCAATCAATGTATAAAACATGTTGTACGGAATAAACTAAATTTAAATATGAAAATTATTACATCGTATATAGGAAAGCTTACATGCAGTAATTCTTTAATTGAATCGCATAACAAAATTGAAACACTTACATGAATAGTTGTATCTATATTCAATCGTCTCGATACACGAGTAACATTTTAACTTACTATTTAACAAATTACGATAAACACTGTTTTAAATTGCAACCACATATCACTTACATTGTTCGCCGTTGTTAGGTAAAGAAGCAACTATTTTTAAAAATTCGATATACTAAAAGTCTGCGAGAATCGATTCTCGAATATCTAGAAGACTAGCTATGTTCAGACGATAAATTCATCGTTACGACGGTTTAGGTTATGTTACACGATTTTAAAACTTAAAGAACAAACAAAATGAATATTGCCTGTAGGCGATGGATTCGAATTTTTAAAACAGATCTAACGTTTCAATATCACTTTTGTATGCTTGGAAAAGCACTTAACTATAAAAGTGCTTATTCTCTTGACAAACTATACCCCACGAGTAATTTGAAAATATTTACACCAACCTTTGTAAGTTTATTATTATTATTTATGAATATATCTACAGCAAAACAATCTGAATGTTATAATTTAATATTACTAAAT